GTGTGTGTGTGTGTGTGTGTGTGTGTGTGTGTGTGTGTATGTGTGAACGTGGTGAAACACAGAACCAATGCACCAGAATCTGGAAAATACAGACTCATCTCATCTCATCTCACGCTGTATTTTTGTGACAGATCATACGGATGGAGAAAGGCATGCCTGAGACGAGAGACCTTCGCATGGACCGGGTGAGGCTCTTCGTGGATGAGAACGGCGTCATTTACCGAGACCCACTAGTCGGCTAATGCTAGTGATGCTCACTCCTCAATGTGACGTCATCGCTGGACTAGCAAATTAAATGGTGTTCATACTTAACTACATTTGTATTATTATACTTTTCAATAGCTTTGATCTTGTCATTATACTTTTCAATAGCTTTGATCTTGTTTAATATCATTGCCAACATATTTCATAATATTTCATAATATCATGAACAGTATCCAGAAACATTGTGGACATTATGCCATTAGCCAAATTCTGTGATTACTGTACAGACAAATGTACTTTTATTTTGGGAAAATAAACCTCCTCATCTTTTTGTTTAGCCCACTTGTACTCTTTTCTAAGTTTTGTAAGTAATTAGAACCTCACAATACAGCTTATTTTAGATATCTCTTACAGCAAAGTTACCTTACGATCTCTTGTTTTTCTATTGCGTATTTTATGGTTAGTCTGTTTAGTTTTAGTAGAGGTTTCACGGCGCTCACAACTGCATAAGGTCATATGAGCGCCAAGGCGTGGATGTCAACAGAGAAGTCCTTACAGGGAATCAGACTTACTCTGCTCACCTCTCTAGCTTCACCAGCACAAAGTCTGCTTCGACTATCAAGGCACCCTGGAAATAACGGGTCACAAGAGTGACAAACATACAAAAGAAGTAGAGGAAAATGACGATAGTAAGGATTAGGAAAGAAAAAGCATCAATTCCCTGTTGCAGTTCAGGCACAATTATGAGCATGACATTGATGTATCAGCCCATTTACAATTACAAATTTACTGTGCAAAAGAACTTTGGGAATGGCCTTAAGACACTTCAGTCAGTTGCACCGCCCTGGGGGTAATAGTTAGTCTGTTTTTGTCTAGTCCAATATTTCTCTGACACCCCTCCGTTCTACCCATCTTTTCCTGGGAATGCCTTTTCATCTGTAACTGATCTTATCTCTCGTGGTGTGCTCTAAATTCGCTAGTGTGTGGTAGTAGTCTTGAGAATATCTATGTCTCATATAATTTTATTTGTTGTTTATCTAGGTACCAGTACCCCATAGTTAACCCTATAACATGATCAATGGAAAAGGATGTCAAAAAGTTGGTACCTTGAGAATGACACGCACAAAATTTTAGAAACAAAACATACAAAAAAAAAGCAAAAATAAAACAATATAAAACACAAAACAAGAAGCACTTTTACTCAAATTTTATTGTGAAAAAACATGAAAAAAGTTCCTGAATATATTGGATTTCACATCTGTCATTAGAGTCAACGTTAATAATCATTCTCACACATTCATACAGTGCAATTTGGTCATCGTACATTCCAATTCCAGTTTCCAGTGCAGAGTTTTCTACAGAATCATTTAATTGTGGTTCGATAAATAGAAAAGTGGGGGCTCTTGGGGCCTAAAGGTTTAGGTGTTCGTCTCTCGTTCGGAGGTCCTGGGTGCAAATCTGGGTAACGACGGGAAAATTTTCATTTCTGAAATTGTCTCCTTTCACCTGCTTTCTAACAATGTCCTGTCGTCTGCTTTCGTCTCTTCTTTCTGCCCCCACCCCCTCACCTCCTTTGCCCGCTCCTCTGGGCTTCTGACTCTTTCTGCAGCCTTTCTATTGCTACTCCGTGGCTCTTTCTTACTGCTGTCTTTCAGCCACACCCCTGATCTTCTGGTAGGAAAGATCTACACCTCTAGCCTTCTTGGACAAGGGCGAAAAATCTCGGAGGTCCCGTGTGCAAGCTGCGCACTTAACAGATCCCTTGGTGGTCTAAAATTGATAAGAGTAGGCTTCAGCCGCCACCCGAGCAAAATTTAAAAATTCCTATTTACTGAAAATGTTTAATGTGTCTGTGCGCCTGTATGACTTTATGCAGTTGCTAGCTCCGTAAAACACTTACCAAAACAAAACAAAAACCAGACGTAGGCCTACTACTTTTTTACACGCCATGTTACCGGTGACTGTGGTGTAGTGGTAAGGTGCTTCGCTGTTGCACGCAGTAGACCTGAGTTCCATTCCCAAGTGGGAAGAAATTTTTATCAAGTATCTCGGTATGTCCGCTGGGATGTTCATCCCTCTCATCCCAGGTTGGCCCCGACAGGCAGGTTGGAAGCCCGCCTCCTAAATGATCTAAATTGTGTTGATGGGGATGTAAAAACACCTCAACACTGTTGCTAAGTGCGGACGGCCCTCATGAGAGTCTGAAGATTTCCTTAATAAAACTCAACTTCCTCAGCTTAAACTAAACTATGATTTGCACACGCACACACACACACGCACAAACACACACACGCACACAAACACACACACAAAAATACACATACACACACACACAAACATACACAAAAACACATACACATACTCACACAAAAACAAAAAACACACACACACACACACACACACACACCCACACACACTTTCTCCATTTTTTCCTCATGTTGTTTTCATGTACACTCAAACTTCCATATCATCATACTTTCTCAGCCACTTATGCTGCACCATACTTCTGCGTGATGTTTGCCACACAGAGAGGCTACTCGTTCATCAGTACACAAGAAATGAGAGTATTTCAAGACACATAAATATATTCGTGCCCCCTCCTCCCCCCC